AATAATTGTCTCAGTAAACCCATCAAACCTCTACAGTGTATATACTGTATAAAATTATATATCATAATTTTTAACAAGATTATTTTCACCCTCATTCATCCAAACAATAAGACCAATTTAAAATTATAACTATACCACTAGGTTTTCAAAGTAGCATTTTCTAAATTAAACCGGCTATTATCACACTTAATAAAAGCTTTGTGGAGCTTAAGTGGTGAGGGCAGGATGAATTCGATTGTCACCCAAACAGGGACTATCATTCATGTTCTTAGAAAATTATAAAGTATAGCTCAGTGATAGAAAACGTAATGCATGTTTTCTTTAGGGGAGTATATCCCTGGAACTGTTTTCACCAGATAAATAGAAACATTGTGGTGTAGTGCATTACTTGTAGAAATGTAGGGACAATGTAAGAAAATGTTAGCTGCTTTCTCAAATATGTCAATGGAGTGTAAGCGTGGTGAACTCTTATACTGACCTGCCATTGTGCTCCTGTCCTGCAGAGTTTCTCCAGGGGTCTGGGCTTCCCTCTTCTTTCAGAGCCTAAATAGGAAAAAGAAGGCCAGTGAGCTTTTATCTTAATTTGGACAGAGTGTGGAGAGACCCATCTCTGGGGAAAAGGCTCATTGTGCCCCTTGCCACTACAATAAGCCGAAAACTAAGAAGAAACTATTATGCAATCCTATCAATCCTTCCTCTCCACTCCAAATGCATTCAGAAAAAGAAAAGAAATAAACTGATCTTCACTACTTTGCTCTTTAGGCATCTCAATGCAAAGTTACAGAGAATTGTAGAAACCTACAGAGACTAAGGGATAATTATGGAGGGGTAAAGTGGCTTTTTGTTTCTATTCAATATAGTTCAAGACTTGGATTTAAAATGCAAACTGCTAATTTAATTGAGCTCTCAAAGGCCATAACACTAACGAAACTAACACATAACACATGCAAGGATCGCAACAATAAGTGATGACTACTGAGTTAAATGATGAGTGTGGTATGTAACTGCAGTTTTACAACATTAAAAATGATGAAGACAAAGGTTCAAGATAGACATTTGAATTAAAACAACAGAAAAGCAAGTTCTGAGCACCAGGATGTGTATGCCAGTTTCTCCCCGACAGGTGTCTCGGGTATGAGTGCTGGATGTGAGAGATGTGCTGAGTATAGGAATGTTATCAGCTGGACAGGTCACAATATAATGTAGCATCTACTGTGTGGCAAAAAAAAAACCTGGAGCCTTACATGAGATTTCAATTTTTTAAAATGCACAAAAGAGCTGTCTACATCAATGCCTTGACAATACAAATCAAAGAGATTATCCTCTGCAGCAGTGCAGTGCATTTAATTCATTACTTTGGCTTTCAGGGTTTGTGCAATGGAGTTACCAAATTAGAGCCAGGTGGTAGTAATTCAGAATCAATACTGTTTCAAGGATCATTCTCCTCCTAGGATGTGGAAAAATCGCATTTGAGCCTAGCATAGCACCAGTCTGTTTTTTATCAGCGGGGTGCACTGTAAAAGCAGCTCGAGTGTAGTGACAGGTACAGTATATGGGAATACCTATAGCTGATTTTTCCTGGCAGGCTGCCTGAAAACTACTACTTAACACATTATGCACTTAATAAAGAGAACCGAGCCCACTTCTTGCTCCACTTATTGGCTTAGAATCCTGGTCTGTACTTGTAAGAAGCACTACATTATGAGGAATACACCAATTTTGTGTGTTAGGTGTCAGCCATGCTGTATCATGCTGTATGTTGTGTAAATGATTCAACAAATTCACTCACTGTGAAAGACTAACTTTTGCCTTGATTAATAAAATCCCTTCGTTGTGTATCTATACTCCTGCAGATTATGTGCCAGAATGACACAATGTGCTTGATCAAGAAATACAGCTCTTTACTTTCAGATTGTGCTCAGAGAAACAGAAAAATAATTTTGTAATTAAGACACAAAAAGGAGTTATGGTACAAGAGGCTAATAAAATGAACAGAAGCAACGTCTTGACTCAAGTGCATTCTAAGTGTTTACTGCTGAGATCTCCTAGTGACACAGAGATGATGAAAATTAGACTTTGCCTAGTGCGATTATACACTCTGGGCAGAAAATCCTGTTGAATGCATTGAATAGCTGCATATAAGGTTTTTTTGCATAATCTGACAGATGAAACTATAAAGTCGTCTTCTAAGACACAAAAATAAAACACAAGCATTTTTCCATTTTATTTCAATTCCTTACGGGCAATGTCTACTAACTTGCAAACATCACATTCCAAAAATTAGTCTTATATTGGTATTGGACTGTTTTTTCTCTGCTTAAAACTCTGATGATGAAGGTAAAACTGTTAGAAAAGATCAGCATAAGGTTAATGCCACCGCCTGCACAAAATGCAAAATTGGGCAGTTAACACACTGAGGAATCTCCTGGTTAATTGTAAAAATACTTGAGTAACCTCAATCGTCTACCATCTCGTGTTTGCGGATTTCTACCTGAGTCCCCACTCTGAAGGCAGCGTCCATCTGAGCCTTGAGGATGTTGCACTTGAGATGGTCTGGAATGACAGATGGAGAGGACGGAGAGTGGAGGCTCTTCTCCGACAGATGTTTCTCCTCAGCCTGTAGGGTAAAGAACAGGGAATTGCTTTCACTTAGGAGTGAACACATTTTACACTCCCAGTCCATGCCCTTTGTTGTAACAAACAAATAAGTTCTGGACCCCGAGATGAAGCTGAACAAGTAAGTTTTATTGGATGCAATGAACAATATAATCAGAAATTGTTCCAAAGATTATTGGTGCAGATGTCCAGTTTATATAACAAACTTCAGCAGTTTCTGCCACTAACTGTTACCATGGTAATGGGGGGAGGTCACCTGTGTTTGGACATTCTCAAGACCTTGAACACTTTGAATGGCTGGTCTCATCTTCCCATAGTAAGGGAGTCTATAGCTCACACTTGGAATCTCTTATCAATCTCTTACCTTGCCATAACTCCAAAGTGCTGAAGCATGGAATGTTTTGTACCAAAAGAAGTCTTTGTGCAGCAGTTAACCCTATTTTCATATCTCATATCTTTCTTCACCTTCCTCACACAATGTCTTTTCTACAGTTTCTCACCTCTCCTGATTGAGGCACATCTCTAGGGATGGAGCTCTATTTCAGATGGACGAGAACCTTTTTTTTTTAAACTGTTTAAACATATTTTATGAGAATGATAAGTAATACAAATTCTAAAATACACTGGTAGGGCTGTAGCTAAAAATCTTCAAATGAAAACCTGCATAAAATATTTTCACTCATCAACCACTTAATATACTTACACTGTAATATACTGCCCATATAGCTGAGATGGAGGCCAGAATAAACTGCAAATGAATTACATACTACAGTAGGTACAACCTTTGAATATATTTTCAAATCAAATTAAAAAAATATACTGTATGTTGCCAGAATTTCTAAACTCAATTTAAGATTCAAAGAAAAAAACATTCAGCTTATTTTCTATTGGCTTTGCGCTACTGTAGAGTTACCAGTGCTGTCAGTCTCCTGTTTTAGGCCACTATGAAACAGGATTATGTAAGATAATGCAATATGTGAAGGGAGTCTCTTGTTGTCACTTCATGAAGTTTTGAGTGCGAGGTGTAGAACGTTTCAGAATATGTAGCATAAGAATCCACAAAAAAACCCACAATCATTTAAACTAGAATAGAAGGTGAAAGAATCAAAGATTTCCTTCAAAAAGAAAGTTACATGGAGGACAAAGGACAACGGACAACCAAAGGGAAAACAAGAATGATCAGGTCATTAGATGCGGTAAATGATTAGAGTATCATAAGCAAATTAAATCAGGAACTACAAAATTAGCAGGCGATTATAATTTAATTGGAATCAACCAGCTGGGATAGAATGGTTTGTGAATAATAGAGTGGTTGGTGGTTTAGCAAAGTCTAAAAACATGAAACTTAAAATAAAATGCTGCAAAAAATCAGATATTGCATAATTGAAGATGTGTTCACTACAACTGACAACACTTAAATATAGCACTTCACAGTAGATGTCTCTGTCAGTGATCCATCCTTCTGTATCTTGGTATCTAGAAATCAGAACAACATGGTTCTATGTACTATTAAGAGATTATATACATGAAAAGAAGTATCTTACTACCCTGTAATTAGTTTTATTTTCAATTATGATTTACATAACAGAATAGAGGATGAATGAAGGACAAGGTATTCAAACTTAAGTTATTTATACTCCACATAAAAGCTGGAGCGATGCAGTTGAGCTTGCCCCTGTGGGTATTGCAGTCCTATTCAAATTCCAGATTTCTTCAGTGAAACATTCATCTGTGTTTCATTGTTCCTACCCCCTCTTGTAGAGCACTTCAGTTAATGTACTGCATTAAAGTCCACATGCCAGATGCTCCCATGCCGACATTTCATGATGCTTAAATATTAGAGAGTTCTTGTGCAAGCTGCACACTGTGATTGTTCTGCTTTTCCATTTTGATTATTCTTTTTTGTCTTATTATTTGCTACAGATAATGATTCTGAGTGCAGTGTTGATGATACTGTGCTGAAGCTTCAGTGTTGTATTTGATGCAAATGAAGTCGTCCATATGCGCACAAGCGCAGGGGTGTAATCAGTCTTCATCTCTTTCTCAGGCTCTTGACAACTCCTCAAGCCCCCAGTGAACACTCCCCACCCCTCTTCCTTCCACTTTGTGGACTTGTACAAAAGGTACATGCAGGCCCAATCAGTGCCTTAAATTCAGCCATGTCCATCATGTCCATTGGAAATGATTATTAATTGATGCTTGGGGTTTAAGATTTACCCTCTTCTAAGTTAATCTCAATTTCCTGTTAGCAGGATGAAGCATACAGTTACATCATGCTTCTTTTCTCATACTTCTTTCTCATACTCATACTTCTCATACAGTTCCAATACTGTACATTACTCATTGCACAGGTGAAGCAATTTCTTACTTCCCCACCTGATAGGCTGGCTGCCTGATGGCTACCTGAGGTGAGTGCACTTCAGAGTGAAGGAAGTGTGTTCTTCCTCATACATAAAGCTATTTCGGGATCCTTCATGTTGAAAAACATGACACAAACACAATTATTCTCCTTATTTTAAACAAAAGAGGATGTAATGAGCCTCATCTTATTATTTTGTGATTGTGGATTATTTTGAACAACTGGACTATTGGATCCAACCACGCTTACTGGCTGCTGTGGTTGATGCTGCCTCTTTGACCTTGTTTCCGTACCTGTCTTTTGGCATTGGTACTTCAGCAGTCTCTGTGAGGAAGGCCTGGTTGCTGGCAGTGTGCTCTGTGAAAGAGTACAATCGCTTGCAGTGTAGCTGAAGTGAACCCCTGCTGGGTTTTGGTGAACTGAAAGACGATGTAGTTGTTCTTACTACGTTCTCAGCTGTGGTTTTATTTGGTGTTATAACGGTTTTATATACAATTACCAAACTCTTGAAGATTCAAAACCATGCATTCTGGGTGCGTAAAGAAGTTACTGAACTTTGTTGTAAGCTGCCGATTCTTTGGAAGGGATTGTAATTCTGTTTTAAACTGCATTGCAGCATCAAATCGACTCTTCCTGTTATTGTTGCTAATAATGCGAGATTCTATGGTATAAGATTGAAAGTAACACATAGAGTGGACTTCAATGCTTTGCAAACGCTGCAGAAATGTGAGTCTATCAGGAATACATGTCAATTGTCTTCTGGTATCAAGCTGGAACTTTTTAATGCTCAGTCCCTGAGTAATAAATCCATGCTCCTGTATGATTGTATTGTTCATACAAAACGTTATATTTTGTGTATTACTGAAACTTGGCAATATACCAAGCTCAATACATGTTTTGTCTCAGTTTTTACAGCTGGTCACATTTCTGTCCTCTGTTTCTGATAATACGTTTATTTTGAGAGATTTTAATATACATGTTGATTCCCCTGCTTCACGTGTGTTCCTGAGTTTCTTAATGTTATTTACTGCTACGATCTAAAGCAATGCGTCCTACCCCTTCACATGGACATACACTTGATCGTGTACTGTACTAACTAATCAGCCCTTGGTAAGTAATGTAGGAATTGAAGATCTGGGAGTGGCAGAAAAAACATGATTCTTATTCTTAAGCACTGAAAGAAGCAAAGTCTATTTTTTTCCCAGTCTCATCAATAATGACATTGGTAATTCAAGGTATCTGTTCACTATTAATCACCTCCTTCAGCCCCAAACTCAGTTAACTATCAAGGCTACTATGGAACAGAGTAATAATTTTGCCAGGACTTTCAGAGCAAAGTTTAATAACATAAGAGCTGAGATTACTCAAAATGTTTCTTTGCTCTCTATTCCCACATCACACAGGTAGCAAATGCTTCCCATTTGTCTGATTTGTTCCTTCAGTGTTAAATATAGTATTTATCAAGCCTCTTCTTAAGGAACTTAGTCAATTATGTGTTGTATAACTATAGATCTCACTATATTTAATCTCACTTTGCATTCTAAAGTCCTAGAAAGGATGGTTGTTATTCAGCTCCAACACCATCTTGCATATAATTCTTTCAAATCATTTAGAGTTATTTATGGCCTGCTTAGTTTCCTCTTTGCAGTTCTGCATTGATCATTAGGTCAAGTTATCAGAAAGTATGGTATTAGTTTTCATTGCCATACTGATGACACCCAGATTTATATACGCACAGTGTTTTAGTATCTGTCTTGAGGGTGTTGCGGCCCAGATAATTTGTAATTTCTTAAAATTAAATAGTAGCAAAATGGAAGTATTGTTGGAAGGCACCCTCATCAGGTCCAGCATACCAATATTTTCTGTCTCACTATTGGCATAATATTCCAGTAACAGCTTCTGCCACTAATCTTGGTGTTAGAATGGATTCATCATTGGCTTTTTATATCGCCAAATATTGCCAAGATCTCTCAATCTGATACTTTTGCTTTGTCCATGCTTTTGTTTCCTCGAGGCTGGGCTATTGTAATGCACTCTTTGTAGGAGTTCCAGCTAAGTACATTCAACAATGCAACAACAAATTACACCTGTGTTGGCATCTCTGCAACGGCTGCCTGTGAGTTTAAGATTTTGCTGTTGACCTTTAAATGTGTTCATGGAACTGTCTTATTTTAAAGGACTGCTTCTTTCCAAGACTTCCTCCTAGAGTTCAAGGTCTACTTCACAGCTTAAACTTTGTGTCCCAAGGACTAAGCAGTACTCTTTGTTTCATTGCTCCCCATCTATGGAATGACCTAGCCCATTATAACAGGGCAGCTATTGGCAGGTTTTATTTTAATCAGAAAGCTTTTGGTGGTATTTGATATTAGCTGCTGTATTGTTTTGGAGATGATGTTGCCTTATTTAATTCTGTATTTTATTTGGTTTATTAAATGTGTTGCACATATTTAATTGTATCACACTGCACTTTAAGACTGATGACAATTGCATTATAAATAAAATACAGTATAATTATTATCTATCTCATTTGGTTGATTTACCCTAGACTTAATCAGAATTAAATATGAAATAATAACAGTATAGTATTGTAGTAATGCTCTGTTTTTAAGCAACGATATGGAAAATCCTGTGTCTTGAATCTTGTATTGAAGTGGTCTGCTCCCCTGACTGCTGAGGACAGTTCATATTGTCACACAGAGATCCTGATTGTGCAACGTCTCCACCCCAGCTCACTGTGACATTCTCTCAGTTAACATGTACAGGATTGTTTCAATGGACCACAGTTTTTATTGGCCTAACACCACAGTCTATATAACAAATATAACTTGTAAATATCAGTCAAACACATTTTGACATGAAATTATGGAGTTAGGAAGGCATAACCTCACAACCCTGGAGCCATGAGCTTAATTACTGTGGTGCTATCTGTGTGGAGTTTGAATGTTCTTCCCATGTTCATGTGGGTTTCCTCTGGGTGCTCCGGTTTCCTAAGACGTACTGGTACATAAAATTGGCTTTTGGAAAAAAAAAGGGCCTGATGTGAGTGTGAGCATGTTTGTGTCTGCAATAGACTGGGATCCTATTCAGGGCGTATCCAGCCTTGCACTAGTTGCTTGCCAGGATAGGCTCTGTCACCCCTGTGACCCTTAAATGGATAAAGTGGTTAGAAAATGGATGGGTGGTTGGATAACGGAGACAGACCATCTCTTCAGATCTTTGGATAAACTGTATATGAATTTCATTTTTATTGAAATCTAATCTTTTTCCTTTAATTTGCACTATAAAACTGTTCGTTCTTAAAGACAATAGCAGATACATCTCAACTTCAACAGGCACAAAAGGAAACAGTTAACACAGATAACAAAACACTGGCATAATTATTCCTTTCGGTGAAAACAGGTCAGTCATGGGAGCCCCAACTAATATGTGGTTAGTTAACAATGAACCGCACATCTCACATGAACAAAGGACAACTTTGTCCACCCAAACCGACTTCCTGACATCACTGACCCAGTACCCTGTTTGCCACATGCATTTTTAAGTTTTGGTTATCTTATTGCCAGTTTTAAATGACTAGTTTTTTGTTAGCTTTTTTTTTAATCACATTAACAATTTGCTGCTCAAACATTTCAGAAAATCCAAAACACTGTCAAAAATCTTCTCAAAAGCACATGGGAAAATGAATCAGTTTCGAGCCAGCCCTACAGCAAAGGCTTTCACAGTCAGTAAGATGAAATCCCTGAAATTTCACTGTCATATTCCCACAGCAATCACACCAGGCAGCATGCACACTTGGCAATTATAGATGAAGTAGCAACAAAATATCTGTATACAACACAAGGAAGAAAAAAATTAAATAACAACCCCCTAAAGTCCAATTAATAATCCCTGACAAATACCTGGTTTTAAAAAACCAAAGCGCTCATTAGCATTCAGCAAGCACTGAGAATCTGTGCTCACAAAAAACAGGCCTAATTTACTTCTATGTGCTGCAGTACTGCCAAGGATTTTAAGCTTTTCTTTGCTATAGATTACTTAATTGAATTAATTATTTGCTTAATTGGACTAATTTAATGTTTTAACACCAATGGCTCCTAAGTCCTGACAGATTATGAAATAAAATCTGCTGAAGAGCAGGTCTTCACCACTGATTCAAAATCACAGAACACGTGACTATAGAAAGCTGGCACTTCTTCTGAAGAGTTGACTGTAAGTCAGACTGTAATAGGTTGTTTTCTGTGGAAGAGGGTTAGTGAAGCCCACTCCTGTAGCATGCTACTTGAACGCTTATAATGCTCCCTACAGAGGTACCACACATTGACTTTTTGGACGTCTTTTAAAATGTGTTTTGGCTGGAACACTGAGTGACAATCACAATGGGAACAGCAATCAGTTAGCAATTAAAACACAATGAAATGTGCTTGACATAAAAACCCTCCCTGTAAGACAAGCCTAGCAAAAGAAACAGGAAACAGAATGAATTGCTTAAACAAACTACAGCAGAGTGTAGTCAGAGGGCCGGAAATCTATTGTTGAGAGCTGTTGCTTTAACATCAATTGAAGCAATAACTGCCATATACAGTGATGTGAAAAAGAAAGCACAACCCCTTATGTTTCTATGGTTTTAGATACTGAGACGTCACATAAGGCTATTGAATGTTGGCTAAGTATTTTGTTTCATAAATAATGAGTACAATTTGTGTATGTTATTTGTCACACAAGGTTAGATTTACCTACTGTTAGGACTTCAGATGAAGGTCAGATATGTCGTAATATGTAAAAACCATTGAATCTTAACAGGGCATACTTTCTTTTTCACATCACTGCATTACAGCAGTGTTATACATTAGGCACCAGCATTAACGTAACAAAAGTTGCACAAACAATAGTGGCTGTGTGTACTGCTGTAATGAATTACCTTGTTGTTGATATTGATGTGCAGTGCTGGCCAGGGCCCAGAAACTTTGCTCCCTTCCACCTGTTTCAGATGTGCAGCCGTCTCCTCGTACTGGCAGGGAATACCAGTGCTCAGCTCTGCGGACAACAGACAAGCACATGTGAGGTGTGTGTCCGTGGCAGGGGTTCAAGTGTGAACAGCTTCTCTTAAGCAAAATCAAAGGCAAGGGCTTAAGAATTCATTTTTCTGTGGGTAGCCCATCTGGAAAAGTTTTGAGTTTGGCACTTTTTTCCTCTAGTCTTTTTTTTTTTGCTTTAGTCTTCTACTTACTGCACATTGTTTTTCCTTTCAAAGTAGGAGTGGGCAGTAGTCCCATTTGCTTGCTGTTTTTTCAGCAGCAAACGCTGGCTGTACACAGGGTGTGCTTATGGACTGATGATCCAAAGACAATGCAGAGCTCTGACATGAAACCCACGGTATACACTAAGTCACAGTATGTCTTCTCTTAGGCCTCTGTGTTTTAATAGGAAAGTGTCTTTTTTTGGTAGTGTGGTCTTGAAATTCAATTACAATCACGCATAGGCAGTTACTTCCAGAAATGATCACTAATCCTCTTTACCTTTGGGAAGAAAAAAACATTTTGTCTCAACTTCTCATGACAGCTTTCTTCATGGCTTTACAGTTTTTAAATAAGTACCTGATATAACAGTGCATTTTTCTTACGTTTCCATAAGCTGCCATGAGCAGCTTGTCTACAATTAATAGCTAAATACTAATTAAGCTAGTCCAACAGTGTCACGATGATAGTGAAACAGTAAAAAGGAAATACAACAGGAAGTATCATGAAAAGCCTCAAAATATGGTGAAAACAAACTATATTTATGCTATTTACCTCTGCCTTCCTTTACGCTCCAACTATTTATCCATTGGAATTATTCTGTCCCTACAACTTACACAGGACACAGATGCTAATTATGCACTGTATGGCACTGAATGGCACTGTAAAAGAAATGTATATTGTACTTCCTTTACACTCTTCAACGTTGAACTAACCTGCTTTTTATTTTTTAATTTTGTTTTTTTCATAATCCAACAAACAACATTTTCCAACATTATCCAAACAAACATAATACAACAAATAGCATTAAAAACAAGAACCACAAAGATCTACTCCATACAAACTCCCCTCATCCATCCCCCTCCGTGATACAGCTTTCCATGTTTCTAACTAGAGACCCCATAAATGTGGACAAACAGCTACAGAAGATCCCCACTGCGACCACACTTTTAATGTGTCAGCAGTTCTGCTGCTGTGAAAGGCCCCAATTACAGCCATCTAGGAAGGGTTTTTAGTGTGAACCGGGAATATCCCTATTTAGAATAATGGACAAATGGGGATAGACTTGTTTCTAGAACTGAAGCACCTTTGGGGGGTCCATAAACCTGCAAATAATTGCCAAAAGTACAGCATTTAATGGCTGAATTTTTATTTCCCCAAATATTGTCCCAGGAAATGGCCTCATGCACAAAAGTAATCAGGGTCTCCACCAGATAAAAGGATTTTAAGAGGTCAAATGGATCATGCATTGGGTGTATAGACAATATTGCCCAGAGGAATTCGCCCCCCTGTCTCCTGTCCCCTGTCCCTGGAGGCGACAGAGACATGCATATCAGAATGCACACAGATATAAAAAATTATGAATTATAGAACAAGCAAAGAACATTCTAATTAAAAATTTGTTGCAGTGTGAATTGTCACTCCAATGTGAAAGCGAGAAAGGGGAAATGCCTTTTAGAAATTTATTATTATAAAAAACCTACAGTTGTCCATGGCAAGTGTTACACTCCAGGAGGAAACCAGATAATTGGTATTATCACAGGATGCGGGACTTAACATATAATTAATCAACAAACAAGAACAGGTCTTAAAAGCAGATGTGAGATGTGCGTATAAAGTATTTCTGTAGTTGGAATTGATTACAAAATAAAAATTAGGCCTATGCGAGTTAAAATTAATAAATGTGGTCTACTATAAAGGGAAGTATGTCCTTTTATCATAAATCATTCAAGACATCACACAGCAATTTGTTTGGAGTAATTGAGAAAACACAATACTTTTAGTCCCACAGATCAATTCACTTTTTGTACCATCCATTAAAGTGATTAACAGATAAGGCCAATATTAAGCACTGCGAGGGGATGAAGGAAACACAAATTATTTTTTAATGACAAGAAGCATAGTGATGTTTAAATCTTAAAGGTCAGTGTTTCTCATAGGAATTGTCTTTTGCCAGATTTATCACAGAGACAGAAATATGAATTAGAGGCAGATAGAGATGAACAAGGCTGTCAACCTGTTTTCTCTTCAAGGGAAATGTTGTTGGTATGAGACTACAGTCTGCTTCTATTTTGTGATCAAAATGCCCTTAAAGAAATTGTTTTTGTAATCATAACAAGTGGTGTTACAAATGACAGAAAGAAGTTTTGTTTCCTTTATTAAAATGTTGATACATTAACAACAGTGCAATGTGTAAGAGGGCGACAGTTGAAGACAATATAAGCCTGAACCACATACCCCGGGAAGCAATGGGAAATGCTGAGTTGTCCTTTGCCACCTGACCAGTTGGAGGAAGACAATTGGTTGAGTAACTCTTAAGCCCAGGAGGCTGAAGCTGCTAGCTAATTAACTAGCAGGGTCTGTGCTCTGTACTGCACCAAAGGGTGATGGGACTGAAAGGGAACTGACCGATGAGTGCTCAGATGTGCTTTTTTCTTGGGATGGACCTGTGGATATCATTGTGAGTTGTTTTAAGGAGTTTCACAAGGAATATAATTTTATGCTGGTAAGCAATGGGGCTGCATGGATACTTACAGAGAGTGTAACAGAAGTGCAGTTAAAACCTGTAAGGTGTTCTTACAATGTAAAATAAAGACCACTATATTTTATCTTCTCGCTGCATTTCTGTCTGCTTTATCAGGGACCTGTTCTATGGAGACCTGCCTATTGAAAGACATTTGATTGCTGCAGGGCAAACGCACTGTCTCTAGATGAGGAGTGTTTATTATACATTGACATCTTTTATATCTCATTCTTAAAACCCTGAAGATAAATGATGGCCAGCTTACTGGGACGCTAAAAGTGTTAGAAATGGACCTAGCAAAGTATTAGGAACCACCAGAGGTCAGTAATCCAAGTCAGACTGTTGATCTGAAGGTAAAGTGCACTTGAATGTGGTAACACCTTGTGGATTTCAAATTAATATGACAATAATGGCAGAAAGGTTAAGAAAACCTAAATTCTCCACTCAATCACTTGGTATGCTCTCATACTATACTAAGAGAGAAGGAAAAGACAGATACATTATCTGGAACATTAATAAAAGAGAGAATACATTGGGCATGATAAGTACTGAGATGGTCATGGCTACCCATCTTCACTTGACCTGAAAAATCTGAGTGAACTTGGTGTTTATACCAGGGATCACTGTAGTGGCATATGGGGCAATACCATCACATCTTGATTATGTCAAAATTGTTAGTGTGAAAGAAATCCCATTAATTTAACAGCACATTATAGTAATGCAGTAGTATTGTACATGATATGTTTCTAAAACAGGAGGAGAGGTGCTTTCCTTGTTCCACTATACTCTCATTGTGTTACAAAATGGCATTGGGGGCTTTGATTGTAAGCCACTTTTTTAACCATACACTCAAATTTTAGTTTGGTCAATAAGAAGCCAAGTGCATTTTTTCCCAACAATTGCATATTTCAATTAGAAAGTAAAAACATAAACAAGGTCACAAGTGAGCAGAGGCCATCTATCTTACAACAGGTGCTAGTAGCTACAGCAATTGATCCAAGGGTCTCATCCAGCTGGCCGAGTAGATGTCAGAACACGAATGGAAAAATCAAAAATACCATTTGTATTTTTTTCAATTTCGCAAATAAGAAAAAAATTTACTGATAGAGCAACACAGACATACAGCTGCCCTCTATCAGGAATCTTTCCAACACCACATAAGGGCAATATCTGATGATGCTGAAGGGGGACGGGGAGCAGATTCATAATCGTCAGGCGCTGCCTGTGGAACTAAAAGGGACACTGTGGTGGAAACTAACCAATACAACGGGTAATAAATTAAAAAATATTTAGTTAAATGCTTTGAAAGGCAACACATGCCTCTTGTGCTAAAATGTAATGAATAGCACCATTCATACAGTAATTTCGGTTATAGACAGTGCTATAAAAAGTTTTTAAAAAAATGGAAAATGGATTAAATGGACTGTAAAATCAATAACAAATGGATAGACCATAGCAATTGAAAACTTCTATAAAGACCAACGATTTACCAGCAGAATATAATCTGTAATCATAATCTACCATTATAATCTAAATGCAAGAAAATACTGTACATGGTCGTTTTGCAAGCACGGGAACCACACAGGTATGCTATGATGCGTTCTTTGTTGCTTTAAATTCTTTGTTTTCTTCTGTTCAACGGCTCGTGGCAAGTTCTGGAGAAGAAATAATTATTTTGTAGCTCAAAGGCTGACAAAACCTAGTTGGAAGTCCCTTTTCAGATCAGAAATGAAAACTGCTAGCAGATTTCACCACAGTACTTGGCTGATGCAACAACACATATGTACAATAAATTAACATTGATTGTGTGAAACACCCACGTATCAGTACCATGTGACATGTTTTGAAATGGAATAAAATAACAATAAACTATTCCAATATGCAAGCCTACATTGTTACTGTCTGCAACTGACTGTGTGACATATTTTGTGTCAGTTAAAGACTCTGATGACCATCAAAATTCACGCTGAATCACTTTCATTATATGAGAATGAGGAAGAAGAGGTGTTTTGACATTATTGCCTTCAGTCAAGGTTATGCAACTACCATATCTGAAAACCCTATTTAGGAATTGTAAAAATATACCAATGAGACAGTAACAGCCTTTATCACCATGTTAAAACAGAGCAGATTTTATAAATAATTCCCATGATCTTTAAACTCCTGATAGCGTGGAGGTATAGGCTGAGAGCTCATAATTGGGAGAAGGTATTAAAATACAATTAGCTTGCATATGATCTAATTGCTTGCAAATGAACTTCAAGATACTCAAGAGG